AGAGATTTGCAAATCTGTTATTATAGTCCCGGGGATGTATCTTGAGTCTTTTATGTAGTGCGTTAAATTTATTGATAAGAATTTTGGTGCTGGCAGTAATTTTTTGGTAAATGCAATTACTATTTAGTTCTTTGTGCAGAAGGTTGAAGTAAAACGTTTTTTCAAATAACACTAAAATTGTTGCTAGCTTTGTCAATTTTTGTAATGATAAAATTATCTTGCTGTTTTTTAATAAGATTATAGAGTTGCGTCTTATTGTGTAAAGAGTTGAAAGAAGGAGTCTTGAAAAGTAAATGTTGAAATTCTTTAATCAGTGGCAGCTTTCCATTCAAGAAAAGTAGTAGTAGGTAAATTGGATTTATTACTAACTAAGATGATAAATTTATCTAGATCTTGATTGAATTGTTTGAGGCAAAAGTGTTTATTGATACTGAAAGTAGGACGAAATTTGGTTCCAAGTTGTAAAAGGGCTCGCAATTCTAAGTCTTCAATGATGTTCAGATCTCCGGTTATGACATGATGGTGGAAAGGATCGACATATTTATGGTAAAGAGGTAGTTGGCAATTACATATGCTATTTTCTTGTACCTCGTGGTAGTTGATAACGAGTTGACCTAAGGTCTTTTCAAACTTAAAGCATGGTTTAATTTGTAGTAGCTGGTCAGGAAGCAAGTGCTGATATTTTTTTTAAATGATAGATATTTTTAGTTGATCGTAAGAAGGGTGTTTGAATTGTACAGTACAAAACAGTTTTATGTGAAAAAAATTGCTATTTTTTAGTTTAAAATTGCAAAAGTTATTTCGCGTGTAAGCAGTTTTTTCCAGTTTAATATATATTTTTTTTAAATATCTTCATTGTTAATATTTTAGTAATACAGCGTTGAACCTTTCGTGGAGCTACAGCTCCTGGTAACATTTTAGCACGATCCCTGCAATGTTTCTACCTATTATTTCATATATTTTTGCAGCATTATGCGCAAAACATTTTTAAGACCAAATAGGTCTTACGTCTCATTACTAGTTAACTTTACAATTTCTGTTTCGATTATATATATATATATATATATATATATATATATATCTGTACTTTAATTATATTAACATATGCAGTGAAAGAAATTGCAGTACATATTCCTATTTATACCCTTTTTAAATCGCTGAACACTGGTAGTCCGAGGTTCGAATCACTGGTTCCTCGACATTACATTTAACAAGATTTAAGTGAAGAACTCTGTAAGCTGTATGTGGAAAATTAAACTACTGTTTGATGACAGCAAATCGCATTTAATGGGTCAAAGAACCGCAAGATCGCAAGCCGCACTTTAAGTGTCAGAGAGCTGCAGTTTTGTCATGCCTGTTATAGAGTTTGATAATCTTTGGTAACATAAACTGGTACCCGAACTCCTAACAGCGACTGGGAGCGAACGCTGCATTTGAAGAGGTAACACAAAGTTGGCTCAAAATTTCTTACAAGAGTAATAATTCAGATCTCGGCAATTATGATGCAAGCCGATGACTAAATTTTGTCTGAGTTAGCGAAACCTAGTAAGGTGGCCTCAAGAACCAGAAACACGCTCTGTCTTAAAATCCAACAACCTCGGCTTAAATATTCTACACCTGATTTATACTGAAGTGGCAGTAAATGTCTAAATCAAAATAACTGCTTGCATCAACATAATGCAATGTTACAATGTAAACTTCCATATTTTCATTTATTATTTCACTATTTTCAAACAATTTAATTTATAAAATTTTTATCTCTTTATCTAATTTTAATTAGTAATTTTTTATTACTTTATTTTTATTTATCTTTAATGACTTCTGTCACTGTGCTTCACCACTTTTAAGTTGAGAAATTAAACCCTGAGCTAATAAAAACACCATGGCTGTAATACTGAAATAAAGGCTATAAAAGAATATTTCATATTTTTCAATGACTTATGAAATGCAATTGTAATTTGTATTGAATGTGAGAAATTTCTATTTGAAAACGGAAAACCAACTACAACACCTCTAAAGCGATTAGGTCATTGAACTCCACCACTTTAAAGTTGAGAAATTAAGACCTGAACTTGTGAAAACCACCACGGCTGCAATACTGAAATAGAGACTGTAAAAGAATATTTCATATTTTTAATTACTTATGAAACGTAATAATAATTGTATTGAATGTGAGATATTTCTCTTTGAAAAGGGAAAAACCAACTATAACACTTACCTATAAAGCGATCGGATTAAAAGATTAAAACTTTTTGCAATCGGACTACTCAGATGTTTATTTTTCAAGATCATAATAATATACATCAAAATTTTTCTAACAAAATATGTCCTTTTTTCAAAGTAAGTTCAAATGAAAAGAATAGACCCTCTGCTATTCAGCATTAGTGGGCTTCACATCATAAATTCAATTTTATTTCAATCGAAATAATCCAAAAAACTTCTTCAGTTGATGAATTACATTTTCTTGAGGCTTACTATATCCATAAACTTTTTGCGCATTATTCAGTGACTTAAATTCTAACCAGTCTTTCTTACCCATGTATAAGGATATTATTTCTGATTCTATTTTTTGTGCCTACATGAAAAAACGGGCCTCGCTTCTTTTCATAATTTTTTTTTCTGTTTCATTATGGAGGGCACTATGGCTACTTACTAGGACATTCTCGAAAATTCTTTAATCTCTCCTTTTATTTTTGATACTCGACTTTCACTTAGCTGCAAGTGAAGGAGGCGATATTGTCAAATACCTGAAAGCGCTTCTGCTAAAGCGCTTCTGCTAACAATATTTGTTTCTTTATTAATGTTTTACTTAATATTTCAGTCTTCCCCAGTTGTGGAGTTTTTTGGTATTCATACGAAATATGTTGCACTAAATTCGGCGGAATAAATATCACGCCGTGATAAAATTACTACCATATACATGACCACTAGATTTCGGAATTCAGCAACGATAAATATGGAAACTAGAAGTTTGACATGCAACCTCTTTTTTCTTAAATCACAAAATAGTTTGCCCATTTTGTCCAATGTAAAAAAAAAAAAAAAAAAAAAAAAAAAAAAAAAAAAAAATCGAAGATCATTATTGAATGTGTAACATATAAAATAACAACACAAAAGATCATGCCATATGCTTACGCAAATTCATAGAGCAAAATGTAGTAGGTTACAGAATAGAAGACGTGTTTAAGGCCTGCAAAAACTGTAAACACGTATTTTTCCGTCTGCGTGAAACGTTTATGAATACGTTTATCACATATGGGGAATTTTTTGTGGGCTTTCATTTTGGAAATTTTTTCAAATGCTTGCAGTTTCTACTCCTTTATTATCTAATCAGATTTCTAAGAAAGACTTCTAAGTATTTCTAAGAAAAAAAAATAATTTCGCACTCACATGCTAATGAATTTCTTTGGCGCTCACACACTAATGAATTTATTTGCCACTTCACTTAATAATGAATTGTTTGCCATGCACATTTTTGAATATTTTGTCTTAAATATCATGGAAATAACTACTAAATAACCATTTTCTAATTTTGAGTTTAATTATTTTTAATTTGTGCATTTTCTTCCCCAAGAGATCTAAAATAATTTATGAATGTTCTAAAATTCACGTTTCCAGTAAGCAATAAATTATAACTTTTCTTTAAATAAATTATTTAAAAAATGCGTTCCACTCAGTTAGTAACTGAAACAAATTTTTTATTAATTAATATAAGAAAAAAAATAATTTAAATAGTTTTTTATGCATATTTCAATTTGGGAATAAGGAAGATTAAAGGCTGATTTAAAATAATAAATTACAGCATCATTTCCAAAATAATTCAAGAAATATTTGAAATTTCAAATGTGTACACTTTTTTGGAGTACATAGACTGTCTATCTGAAGAGAACATAAATATATTACATAAAGCACGTGATTTGTTTTTATTCTCATGGGGAGTTCGTATTTACACTTTTCAGGTACTTCTCGTTGCTCACTTTTACGTGTATATTGCACGTTTTATCAGCAGCATTATCTATAAAAGTGACGGATATAGTTAGAAATTTTATGGATTTTAAACTCAAGACAATAAATCACTAACTCACACGTACAGAAATAAAAAAGAAAGATATTCTTTGGAAAATATTTTTTGAATGATACAATTAAAATTTAATGTGTAATTTTGTAAATATATATTTTTGTGCTTCAAAAAAAATAAAAATAAAGTTGCATAAGGTGGTCGTAAACTTAATCTCATTTGAAGTTCTACTACAAATAGTTAGAAGGAACAGTTTAATTTATATTTTTTTATTGGATTTGAGTAAAGGTAAAGTATTTAAATGGGTAAAGTAAAGTATTAAAATTTATTTTACACAAAATACATGTACATTCAAAATAACTTTATTTAGTGTCTGTTTATTGAAATATAGAAAAGTATGCGACTTCTATAAACCTATAATTATTTTATTGTCTGAAATAATAAACAGAAGAATTATTCATTGCCATTTTAAATGAGAAAGAAGCATTTTCCAAGATTAAGCATTTTTCAGTTTATAAAGAAGGATTAATTAGAGCAAAGCGAGCCGGATCTATGAGTATTCTGGAGATACCTTCTTAGCAAATTGATTTGTATACATGTCACACACGGGGAAAGCAACAAACTCCGAGCTTAAGTTAAACAACTAGTATTCAGCAGCTCATCTATTCCACCGTTTGATGATATCTTGAGTAACTAAAGGGTAGAAAAATTATTATTTCTTTCTGTTTATATTGAAAAATTCAGATTTCGTGGTGCCTCCTGACATTTTATTTTTGTTAAAGATGACTGTTTTTCTGGATTTACAGATTCAATTAAAATGAGAACTATTCAGATATGTTCATCGTAACTCTTAATAATCGAATTATGCAGAAAGGACAGGAAGGGAAAAAAATTCACAGTGGCGGTTAGCTATAAAATCATAATTTAAGTGATGAAAATGTCCTTGAGAGGAAGTTTGACTAAACTGAATGTCCGCTTTTGCAATCACAATACACACCAAAGCGAAATGATTCCCATTTTTGATGTGTTCTTTCTTCAGGATTGTGCTCTGATGTGAGTACCTGACATATTTCCTTTTATTTCCTTAAATTTCTGAATCGAATTTTTTTTAAATTTTGAAAAGTTTATATCCTTAAAAATCCTAATATATTTTTTTCTCTTACATTTGAGCTGTTTACACAAATGAACATGTTTACACCGCTTATATTACTTTATCTTAGGCTTCATCAATTTAAAAACCTGGTATCTCTAGTTTTAAAATTTGCTAATTCCGCGGGTAGGCAGTTTTGATGAGTGGAAACATAGTAATATCTAAAAAATGAAGTTTACAAAAGAAAAGGGATAGGAAAAGAATAAGAATTCCAACTTTGGTATTATTTTTTAAAGCAAAAATTGCGAATTAAATAAATATTTCCCGTTGTTGAATAATACTTTTGTACTATTCAACTAGTTTCTAGTATTCCTGTGTACTTTTGTAAGATTCTTGTAAGATTTAGTTCTTTTTTTTTCTGATTTTCAAATTCAAACACTTTAAATTAACTCAAAAATTTATCACTCTCACATGATATGAATTATTAATCATTAATTCATTTCCGTACTTATAGCATTTTAAATTTATACGAAAATATTCATGTTAAAATATCTGATTATTATAAAAAGAAGAAAAGAACATTTAAAAATTTGAATTTGCGAAATTTAACCTCAGATTAGCATTAATTCTGTAACACACTCTATGTATGTTTTTGAAAAGGCGAATGGATCCGTCGAAATTTTAATATTAAGCAAAATTCAGCATTACATTAAGATTTTTCTACGAAATAAATTCCAATTGTAAGGTTAAATCTTGCCAGCATTTGCTAGCTAGCACAGTTGCTGTCCTCTACTGTTTTTGTAATATCATTTGTCTCAAGATAACTTACTTTAATTATAGATATTAAATAAGCACAAGATTTTATAGATATATTTTAATTGGAAATAATCATTTTAGATGTTGCTAAAATTTCCTTTTATTAATAATATTGTAGAGACATTAGGATTTTTGAAAGCAAGCAAGATGAAAAATGAGCAACCGCTTCGCCGGGAATCGAACCACGGACCTCTGGAATACCGGCCCAGCGTGCATAACCACTACACCACGAAAGCACGCTAGAAAAGTGGAAGAAATACCTTATATACTCTCCTTTTTAAAGGGCGACTGGGGTTTTTAGGGGACACAATTGCCAAATCCTGGGTGTGAAGAATCCTCATTCAACCCCCTTTTAGTTTGGGGGCCACTGTAGAGACATTAGGTATATTTTTGGAAGCAGGCAAGATGAAAAATTAACAAGCCTTCGCCGGGAATCGAACCACGGACCTCTGGAATACCGGCCCAGCGTGCAAGCCACTTCACCACGAAGGCATGCTAGGAAAGTGAGAGAAATACCTTATAATATTAATCAGTTAAAATATTTTAAATATATTTATAAAGATTTATGTTAATTAACCGAATTATCATTTTAGCTTCACTGTAACTTCTATCTTATCAGAAAGCAAATTAATTAAAGTATATCTAAATGCAACTCTTTTATATATGTTACCGACAAAGTATGAAACGCAGGCATTTTAGAGAATACCTAGGCATTTTACAGAATGCCCGTAGTTTTTACGCAAAGTACGAAGTATGAGAATCATTATATACTTTATCTAGGCATTTTATATAATACCTAGGCATTCTATGGAATGGCAAATGCTCTTTAGGCAAAGAATGAAAAAAAGATCATAATAAATCTTATTTAAATGTCATTCATTCCTTAAAAATACCAATGCTATTTTGATAAAATAATGAAAGAGTGTCTTTAAGAATTTTTTATTCAAAATACGTAAAAAAAATGGAATTTGCTCGAAACAAAATTTATGCCTTTCTTATTAAAGAAAACAAAATTTTCATATAAAAAGTAAGAAATATAAAAAGTTAATAACATGTTTGTTGCAAAGTGGTAGGCTTAAATGATAGTTTGAATGCACTTCATTATTTCACACAAAGACGTTTCATATTTCGGACGTATTCACACATTTTTTCACGCAAAAACATTTATATTTCGGTACTTTCTTTTACGCATATATTTGGAATATGATTTGCCACTTCAACTGGACTGAGCAACTGCAATTGACCAGAGAGGAATTTCGTATGGTCAGGAATACCTTCAATTCTAAGCAAGTTTATCTCGTATATACAGTTGTTTTAATTATCTCAGAAATTTCAAGTTGGTAAAAACTATCCTCACCCACACTCATTACAACTGCCAGTATATTGCATGAATTATTATATACTTTCCTTAGGCATTATATATAATAAGGAGATGTAATTTATACTTTTCCAATTTCTCATTTGTCTTCTATAGAATGCTTAGGCAGTGTATGGAACGTCTAATCGTTTCATTCACTGCCGGCCAGTTTTCGGCAACCTGTAAAATGCCTAGGTATTTTACAGAATGCCGGATTTCATACTTTGCCCGTAACATATAATAACAAAGACTATCTGGCAGATATCTTTCACTGTTACTCTGCTACACCTCTCTGCTGCTTGAATTGATTAATTGTTTAGTTTCGATCGGCGGCATTTGCTTCGCGAATACTTGAGGCCCGAATCAAGGCTTATCTAAAGGCTAATTCTATAGGATTAGCATAAATGATTCATTCATTTTGAAAAGGCTATATTTTTAAAAGTATTACACATACACACGTGAAAAATATATGAAAACAAAGTTTCCCGGATAAGTAGAACATTGTTTCATCGCTGAATATCATCTTGTTGGCAAAATCTTTGTTCTCCACTTCTTCCTGCATGTTGACGCAAAAATATAGTCGTCGGGCATAATCCTCTGACTTTAACTGTTGCAGGAACTACACATGGTGAAATGCAACCATTGAAGTAAAATCTTCCACACAGTTTTTTGTGGTATTCTGAACATTTGGTCAATTGACAAGACGAGCATCTGGACAACAATGCTACAAAATATATGGAATGAACTCGATTATCGTCTGGACGTGTGTCGTGTTACCAAAGGGTCACATACTGAATATTTGTAAAGGGTGCATAAACTTGGTGAGTTTGTGGTTCTTTTCATATATCTTTCACGTGTGTACGTGAAATATACTGGTTATCATAAATTAAGGAAAAATCACAAAAATCACGATTACTGAAAACGTTACATGTAGAATTTAATGAAACTTACCCACAATATACAACATATAGTAAGGTATCAAATAACATAAAAAGAAATTACTAGACAAATATGGTAGTATAGAAATTAGCACATGTATAAAATGAACAAATCGAAGGTGTCAGTTTGCTATAGGAAAAGTACCTTCAATATGGAATATGATCACCTCTAAAAGCAATACAGCACATACAGCGATGTGTGATGCTTTCAATTATGCGGTCTATCAGTTCCATAGGAAGCGAGAGCCATTGCTCTTGCAAAGCAGTTGCAAGAGCGGCAACGATCTGAGGGGGCGGATTCAGAGCAACTAGCCGTTTCACTAAAGCATCCCAAACGTGCTCGATATGATTCAAGTCCGGGGATCGAGCTGGCCACTCCATGCGCATAATTATTTCCTGTTGAAGATAATCATCTACGATGTGAGCCCTGTGTGGTCTTGCGTTGTTGTCCTGTAACAGGAAAGCATCACCTATTGCCCCCGCATATGGGGGCACATAAACATCAAGGATGTCATCTCTATAAATCAGAGCATTCACGGTTCCTCTTGGAAAGACATGGAGGTCTGTGCGTCCACCCAAAGAGATGCCACCCCAAACACAAACACTGCCCTTCCGTATGCATCTCTTTCACGGATGTTTGACGGATGATAACGGGATCTAGGTTCTCTTCCATATCAAATAACGCCTACCATCGCTTTCTAGACTAAACCTGGACTCATCTACAAAGAGAACCGCCCTCCATTGATCAGGCGCTCAGTGGACATGTTGTCGTGCCCACTGAAAACGGTCCCTCCTATGGCGTGACGTGAGCGGCACGCAAATGGTTGATCTCCTTGCATACAGACCATCTTCATTAAGCCTTCGACTCACAGTTAACGTTGACACGAACCTTCCGGTGGCTGCAACAGGGAGGATCTAAGATGAGTCGGAGTAGCGGTTCTACTCCTGCGTGCACATAATGTCAAATATCGGTCATCGGCGCTCGTCGTAGCAGTTGGCCGTCCTTGGCTGAAACTCCTAGATGCCGAATCTGTGGTTTGAAATTGCCTCCAAAGTCTATGAACCACAGAAGGACTCCCATTTAGCCATCTGGCCACTTCTGCTTGACTTTGTCCTGCCTCTAGTCTCCCAATGGCTCTCCATTGCAGTTCTTCTGCAGGCAAGTGATGCCTGGAGGTCATTGTTACGAATTGGCTATCTCAGATTTCTTATGGCCCGGTCACAGTGAAATATGTGGGCTTGCTCTCAAACATGGACTTTATGCTCCTCGCAGATGACGTATTCCGAAAGCAGCGTCACTAATTTTCATATCACAGTTTTACTCAGCTACTCTAACTTGGCAACATATTCAAATTTTACAGGGTTTGGCTTATTTTTGAGGGAGTTATCGCTATTTTTGTGATTTTTCCTTAATTTATGATAACCAGTGTACTTTTGAAAACATAGCCTTTTCAAAACGATTGAATCATTTATACTAGCCCTGTATTTCACGTTTAATTTGAATTGAACATTTGTTTCGTTTTATTGTCAATCTACGGAGATTTGGTTTTATTATAGTAATAAGCGACCAACCTCGAGAAACGAAAGAATAATTTATAATTTTTATGTTAAGGAATTTGAATAAGGAGAAGTAACGCTTCGATGGCACACTAAGGCCACGGTGAAAAATTGAGTTTAAAATACGTAGGATTTTTAACGAATTTTACTGGCGTTTAAAGCCAAGTGTTGAAGTTTATCTACGTATGCACGCTAAAGCGAGAAAAATTGTCAGCAACATTGAACAGTCCCCACAACGTGTCATACTGAATGCTTAAAACACGTGAATTTCAGAAATTTCGGAATGTTTTGTAAT